GCAGTGTTTCATCACCAGATGAAACACCGAGAAGAGAGTTGAAAATACGACGCGCAGCGGAGTATTTTTGACGAACTTCGAGGTGTTTCATCTGGTGATGAAACACTGTGTCGAATGTTTGATATTTCTTCTCAAACAAAATAATTTTTGAAGGAGAAATTAAGGATGCAAAAATGAGCAGTTTTTCATCTGATATCCAAACACTCATTAAACATTAATTTCCTTTGAATTTTCTTTATGAATTATTAATGAGTTTGAGAAGTTAACAGATAACATTAGAGATCGAGTGTGGCATTATTGAAGCTTAATTCAAGGGCTCGTGTTTATCGTTAAGCCCAAGTGAATTAAGAACGGTTGGGAAATTAGTGAACTGGAAACATACCCAAATCCAAGATTTAGAAGATGATTCTTCAGAGCAACTTCTTACTTCTGATAGTGTTGCTTATTAACTCCAGTTTGTTAAGTTTTGAATTTGCTGACCTTTTAGTTGAACGAAAACTAATATTGGAACAAATGATATTCTTTAAACAGCGAGTGTGTCAAATGTTGGAGTCATGATATTTGGGTTTTGCGCCCACGTATTTGCTATCAAGGGAACTTATGTTGTATATATTGTTACGTATCACGTCATGCATATTGTTAAAGGGGCCGCCAACATTATATTTAAAAAAATTCCCTCGCAGAATTAGTTTAGCATTAGTGTAGTTCCACTGACCACAAAATTAAAATTTGATAATCATCGAAAATTCGGACATTAAAATAAATGTGTATTCCTTGTAGAACAATGAAATAACGACGTTAATAACGATTTTTACGTAGAGAAGAATATTTAGGTTGGATTCATTTGCACCATACGAGTATAGCTGTCGCATTTGCCCGCTAGAATTTTTTTTAGGTTTAAAGGGGCTGTGTCACGGCAGTCCAGTTCATTTTGTTTAATTTTGCCAATTACTTGCCCTCAATCGCTATGGAATTTAAAGTAAGTAAAGAAATTACATGTAAATGACAAAATGAGAGATCCGAGAGAAACAAATATATCTCCTGAGCATTATTTTTGAAGTTGCAAGCGGCAGGGATCAACTTTGAAAAACTGTTAGGCTGAACATTTTTCAAAAATCCTAATTTCAATCCGTTTCAATCTTCTTCAGTTTTGCCCATGCGTGACATTTGTTGTATCTGTTATGTTGTTTTAACCTTCCTGTGAAGTTTTAAGCGGTTATTTTTTTGTTTCTGTTAATTTAACGGGCATTTTGTTATTTCCCAATTTGGTTGAATTTCGTGACCCAGATGAAAAATTCCAGCGGGCAAATGCGGCAGCTATACGCGTATACTGCAAACGAATCACCCTTAATATGCCAGGAAATTTTCGACTAATGGAAATGACAATCATTCTATGAAAAAATAAACATTTTCATGCACCATTTAAATGTTGGTTGACGAAGGAAATTATTTCATATTAAGATCTTCTCTTGTTTATATAAAGCAGGTGGAGCAATAGTCCATTTTACAGTGACAGTTGGAAACGAGGCTGGAGTTGACCTTGTTTTGATACAGCCCTTCCTGCTTTATTATGTTAACCATGTCTTTCTTATGCTAACAGTATTTTTTAAGCAAAATTTACATTAGAAAAGGATCGAGGAGGTTTTTATCAAAACAATGTCAACCTCAGCCTCACGTTCTCTCAAAGGCTAGGGCACCAAGCCCACAACTGTAAAATGGCCTATTGATCGTCCGGGTGAGTGTAGTTCTGAATAGGAATGTTGTTGACAGTGAAATTATTTTTGGCCAAACAAGCCAAACTATTGTTTTTTTGACTTTGCGGAGTTTTTGATTAGAGTGAACCAAAACAAAAGCGAACAATTTCTTGATGTTATCATGTTCATGATTATTTCATTTCCTTATTACATTATGCTCTTCGACCCATTAAGCCAAACGATAGGATTGTGACGTACTAATGACACTTGTTTCATATTGGGAAACTTTGCTCCCGAATTAAAGCGTGACTATTTTGCGAAAAAATGCTCATAAAGAAAATTAATTAATTAATGAGAATTTTACCTTTAGCGATTATTCTTTTTAATGCAAAATCGATTAATTTATGATGATTATGAGTATGCTACCAGCGTGTTACACGCTTAATGCCATTAGTGTTTAAAATGCATATTACATGTATTGTAATGACATGGTATTGTTATGAACGGCTTGCCCACGCACGAGAAATTTACGTCGAAATTCACTGAACTGTTGCAAAACCAATGTTAGGGCCTGCTTCATCCTCGGAGACCCAGGGGCAGATAGTTAAGGCGTGGGAAAGTCTAAACGGGCGGGAAAATATATATGGAACGAAGAAAAGTAAAGAACGGCGACAAGAGCCCCTGGGGACAATGTCTTACCAGACCAGATCCAAACGGTCGCCGCCGTTCTGGCTTCTGATTGGTGCAAGAAAAACACAAGTTTTCTGGCATACAGGGTTAGCCTGGCATACAGGGTTAGCCTTGATCTAAGGTATATTGACAAATTCCAGTCAGAAAAAGACCTTTGTACAACTGTGTCTATTGTTTTAAACTCAAATTCAGGCACTTTCTCGCTGGTATTTGTGAATATTTTGTGTTAGATCGAGGCTAACCCTCTACAATTAAGTCTTCGGCGATTTTTATTTAAAACCACGACGAATTCGAAACTGGACTATTTGACCAATATAGTGACATATATTACACTGACAAAAGCCAGTCAAAACGCACCACTCAGGTTTATGCCATTATCTACAGTACATCGGATAGCTCTTGCGCCGGCATTAAAACCATATCCGAAAAGAATTTTTTTTCCCACACACACACACACAAGAACGGTGATTTTGGTGCGGTTTCAGTATAGAGAGTTTTAGATCTGAGTTTACCGCGAACCTCTAACTGCTGGAGGTCACGTGACAAGTCTTTCGCGTCACGTTTGAGGTTTACGACGTGCGTTTCCAACGTGGGGAGGTAGGTTTTCACGTAGGTTATTTACCTGAGAGCTTTTAGCGTATAATTCTTGTTTTATCTCACGTAATGATACAAAAATCTTGTGGAGCAAGTCTTTATCCATTAACAGAGGCACAAATTCGGGCGAAATGCTAAGTTTGATAAAACCTATTGGATCTTGAAAAGAAGTGCCATTCACGGCTGCTGATTCAAAATGGCGGCCGTAAATTTGCAAGAAGAACTAATGTAAGAATTTACAGCTCTTTGCTGCTAGATGACCGAGTGTTATCGTAAATTTCTTTTATTTTCACTGATTGATATTTCTTCTGTTTCTAAATGGAAAAATAAACCAGAATCCACTTCTTTAATCCACCGCCAATCTAAATCGAATTATGTTTGAACGTGGAACTGCAAACGGGTAACTGCAAACCGCGGTTAGAGGTTCGCGGTAGACTCTGATCGAAAACTCTCTAATGTTGTGAATCTGCGCCTCCCCGATATTGGAAGTGGGTTGTCACATATTGGATAGCTTTCTGTGCCTTTCTTTGTGGCATTGTGGACTGAGGCATTTGAACAGCAGCGAAAGAGTAAGAACCCACGCACACGGAAGTTAATACTTAGGAGTGACGTTGACGATTTATGCACCAAGCCCTTATTGCCAACCGCTCCAGTACGAACCTCAAAAGACTGTGAACGACTTGTTTCAGTTCTTGTTCATACAAGGCCGGAGCATTTTTCATGTCGACATAGCCTTAGAAAGTTCTGGGTCAAAAACTTTAAGGCATAACTGACAGACGATCAACAACATGGCGTCTTGGTTGACAAATCGGTTTAATAACCAGTGTCTGATACCATTAAAGACGAATATTACACTTAGTACTCGACTCTGAAAATGACTGACGCATAGGTTTTTCAAACGTCATTGACTGTCATTAGCATTCCTATTTAGGATTTCATTCAGCCAGATCAGCATATTTCACCTGCTTACGAAATGACTCCTGGGTTCAAACCGTTTACATTCGTACCTTTGTTAAATAGCTGTTGTTGTATTATGTTCCGCAGCCCCAGTCCCTCTTGGCTGAAAGCCTTTTTGTTTCACTAACATCATCACAAAGGTCTGAGAGAACAGGCGGAAAGAAACAGTCTTAGAACTAACAAAAGTCGTTCGATCCAAGGCATGCATGTTACCTGCGTCTAACTGGTTTTGATATCGCTCAGCGTGTTAGTCCTTGCCGCTCACGCGATGTAATCATT